CCTACAATCTAAGTATTTGGGTATATTCAAAATGTAGCCATGTTTCTCAAGTTCAGTCAATTTCCTTAAATAATGTTTTCATATTTTAATTAATTATTTTCATACAATTGATTTATTTTAATGAATTTATATTGATTATAAACTACTTAGATCTATTTTGTTTATTTACATAATAATATAAGCCAATATTGAATACTGAAGAGTATTTTCATGGTTAATTTTGCATCAGTAGCAGTAGTACATGCAGATGTATTAATTAAAATTGCTTGCTTTCACTTCAAGTATGTTTAAAGATTTTGTACAGTGCATGTCTTTGTAAAACAGATGTTTAAAATAACACTTCAGAGGGAAATCACAAATATTTCCAGATTGAATCTTTATCAAATATGTGAAACAGAACAAGACAGTTTACTAGTTCTTGTGGTTCCTCTGTGGTAATGCTGTATTTAAATTGGTCTGGAATAATATATGCATCCTCTTCTATACCTTAGACAAATACCATAGAGGAATTTATTAAATACTATAAAGAACCTTTGTTAGAATAAGTAAGACATTTTAGAGGACCTACAGACTCTGTCAAAGAATGTCTTAATTCTCTAATTATGATTATCATAATCAGTAATCACCCTCTGGAAATACAGAAAGAAAGTTAAAGTATTCTGATTCTCAGTCTAGAAATCTGGACAGGATTTAAAAGTTGTTTTTCATCAAATGCAAATTTGATATCAAATGCAGCCAAAATAAAGATATGCACAATATTTTCAGATTTCCAGACGCAAAATCTTGCAATATTCTATCAGAAACATGAGAAATTCAGTCATAAATAAGAATATATTCAGAAATAAATAAAAATAATAGATTAGAAAAAACCCAGCTTCTTGAATTTCTTTTTTTTACTTTTATTAGTTTCAAGAATTATTCGTTTTTATTCTATGCTTGTTGATATTGCCATGCAGTGAGACTGAAAGGGGAACAGATAAAATTGTTCACTTGTTAATGTCCCTCAAATGAAGCCCAGCTAACTGCAACAAATACTCAAGTATCAAACGCGCTAAAGAAAATTTTAAATATATTAACCTTAAAATGTAATTAACTGGCTTTCATTTTATTCAGTAAGAATTTTTGAATACAGGCAGCTACCTCCTCCTGGGACACAAAAAAAAGCACCCAGTCAAGAGAAAGAATCCATAGAAGTCCTAAGAAATGGGAGTGGAGTTTAATCTGGCAATTAAAAGAGGCAATTATTCAGAGGGGTGGCAGGAAACAGTGGCCAAATCTTGGTGGAGATGGCTGACAGAACTGTGTGATGGTCCCTATACATTTAGGAAGAATTTTAAGAGAAAACTGGGGGAAATGGGCTGCCATATCAATCTGTAACACTGAAGATGGCCAAAATGCTTGGCCCTGGGAGCTGTAGGCACATGCAGGCAGGAGTCACTTGTACTCAGCCTTTGCTGGGTAAATTCAGCTACAGGCAATTTCATTAATTAAGTCCAGAAAACAGCCCAGAAAGACACAGCCAAGTATGAGTCTTCTGGCCCAGGAACAGTATGGATTTCTGCTTCTCACCTTGACAGAGGAACGTGTCACAACACATGCAGCTCTGTTCATGTGCTTAAAGTGTGCAGCATGAAGTATGTGGCAGAGTCAGACTGACTTTATGCCACTGGTGCCCCTCCTGCAGCCATGTCAGACTCATCGAAGGAACAGGGGAAACCACAGTTCACACTTTACATGTGAGGACTTAAAGCATTTTTTGGTTTTTTCTTTCTCTTTCGGGATGGAACTTTTTCACATGCTTTTGTGAATACAAAACCTTCTCAACAGCTTTATTCAGTGTCTGCAAATGTAGGTCACTAAACTGAAATTGCACTGGAGGAATCCACAGTTTCCATGCAGATGGGGCTTTTCAAAAGCAATGCTTTTCAAAGGCAATGCTAATAATTTAGAAAGACATTTCTGTAAGATTGGTTAGATAAATTATGTATTTGGCACATGCAAAATAATGATAGGAAAATATTTTTCAGAAAACTAGCTCAACTTAGTAAATGCTTTTGCAGTTAGAGCAAACTTGAAAAACAAGCCACAAATGGAGCTGTGATCTTGGTCTAAAACATCTCCTGATTCTGGCTTACTGAGTAAACTACACTATGCTCTTCCTTACATACCTGTGTTTGAAGTGAAGCATGAAAATAAAATGTTCTCAAAAAGGACCTGTTTAAGCTTTTGGTGCAGGTTCTCTCTCAGTTTCATTGAGTCTTTAAAAATTGTACACAGCTTGGTAAGAACTATTTTCAGCAGTAAGTAAAATTTATGACCCTTATGGTACTTACATCTATCTTCCCCACAAATTCTTTCTTCTCCAGAGCACGCTGCCAGCTATTTCTCATCTCCTAAGTATTTTGCTTACAACTAAATCAGAACACTGTATCCTTTAAAGTGTATGGTGGGTGTCTCTTCTTCAGGAAAAGAGGAATGCCAGGGGTGGGGAAAATGCTGTATTACTTTAGAAAACTCACTTGCATGAGGTTGCCTTCATGTTAAAAATTCCTACAAACTCAACCACACACAACTCAGACACGTATTTGGCAGCCTAAGTTTCTCTGTTTTTCTCACATTCCAGCCATCAGCTTTAACCACACAGTTTCACGTGCAGGAAATCTTCATTCTGGCTCCACTAAACTGCTTCCTTTCCACATCACTCAAAGTGCAAAGCATTGAGGAAAATTGCTACAGAAATGCACTTTGTTCATCCATCCTTTGAAATGTGCGAACTTTTAATGGGGAGTTCTCCTGGAGCAATGCAAACCTTAAATCACATCCTTTTTCTTCACAAATCATAGCTAGGTGAATTTGGTGAATACTTCACTTAAAACTTAACTTACATTTCTCATCCGACCATCCTTCCTGCTGCTTCCCAACAGTGAAACAGTGCTTTCCTGCAAGAGCCATCCTACTGCCTACAACTTTTTGGGTGTGAGAAAATGGTTATGGAATATAAATTTATAATGCAGTGAAAAGATAATCTAGGGTGTGTGGAAGCCAAGACACTTTACTGTCCAGTGCCTTAAGAGAAAGAACAGTGTCCTATTAATTCCTTTCAATTTCTCATTGGAATATTTGGATACCTGAGTAGAAAAATTCTCAGGAAGCTCACAGTACCAGATACATGTTATTTAAAAGAGCATTTTTTCTCCACTGCATGCTTGTGCCTCAGATATTAACAACATACACATTCATTTATTAATACGATTGTGCAAGCACAAAGGCTACAACACTAAGAAGAAAGCAAAGATAGAAATTTGCAAACAGCATTGAAAGACATTACAGCTGCCTCAGATCTATTTCACAAAATTTTATTGTTTAATCTTCATATCTCACTTTCAAGAAGTTACAAATAACCTTAGGAAAATGTCCTTTTTAGGACATTTTAGGATTTAGTAAAGATACTAATCAACATAATTTTTTCAGAAGCATTTTTTCTCATGCAATTCCTATTGAAAATTAATTTGAAATTTCAAGAAAACATTTGAAAACCAGACAAGCATACAAGCCATGCAATTATGTACCTTACTAAGCTTTTCCATGTCTTGGCAGTATCCTGCTGCCTTTTCCTGCTCCTTGGCTACTTCTGAAACTAGTCTCATGATAGTTTCTCTGTTAGCTTTAGACTCCATCTCATGGACATTCACCTCTTCTTGAAGAGCAGCAACCCGGTCTTTTAGTGTCAGATTTTCTTTACATATTTCAGAGACCTTGAGAAATAAATCAAATGTTAGTAGTTTCTTAGAAGCTCTTAACAATTAATAATATCCATCCCAGTTATACCTGCTCCTAATCATGCCAAAAAAGACTCAGTGATCCTGGTGACCCCTAGGCCAGACTGATAATTGCACTCTACTGTTCCTTTAGAAAAGGAGTAGAAAGACAGTTAAAATCATAGAACATATTCTCGCTATAAACCCCCACCCCAGCATAGTGTGATTCAGATTTACTCCCACACAGATTTTATGACGTATTAGACAGGTGGAGAGCAGCTTCTGCTGCATATCCATGCTTGATGTGAAGCAGGTCAGAAAACAGACCATGCAGCTGCTTTGTGTCAAAAGCAAACCATTTTAGCCTGGCTTTTTAAGATGTGTGCCTTTCATTTGGAACAAGAGAGCTGCAATTCACGCTCAAAACTTTTTAAGCACGAGAGGTTTGAGTTAGTAACAGATATTTCATAATCACATTCAAGGGCAGGGCCAAATACCTGGTGTGCTGCCATTATGAGCAGCCAACACCTTGGAAAAAGGAGTCCCTTCCAGGAGGATTCTAGGGCTGTTTTGGTACACTATGCTATTCCTCATCACTGGAATGTGGGCACTTCAAAGAGTGAGCAAAAAATGTACCCTGATTCCTACTGGCAAGAGATTTGTTAAGACTAAAACAGATCAATTCTGTCTTAAATAAAACCGTAATGTGGAAAAGAAGATAAATAGATGAGCCAAGACCCCAGAAAAAATAGTTGCTACAGTTTCCTAAGGCACAGCTTTCAGTACAAATTAGATTTCCCAACTAGATTTATTACTACCTTGTTAAAAGACATGAAGATATGTTTTTTAAAGCTCTAATTATTAACTTATTAAAGCATGCAAACGTGCATCTTGTGTGACAACTTTTTTAGAGCATCTCTTAAAATTTCAATGTGTTGGAATATTATGAAATATTATGAGGGCATAAACTCACTGTGATACATACCTAGATAATCTTGATTTATTAAGACCGTAATCTTACAATGGTATGAATATAATGAAATAGAATTTCCCCAAATACCTATTGTGCTCCAAAGTGAAGAAAAATAGAGATTAAAGAGTAGAGAGAAGATGAGTGAAATGCATAAAATTAAAATAAAATTTCTTTCAGCAGCACTGATAGATGTTCAAAGAATATACAAACAATTATCTTTTCCTAAATGGAAGCTTAGTTTTTGGAACTTCAGAAGCATTCTGAAGAGAAATAATAAATTTTTATTATTAAGTCTCAGAAACACCACAAAGTTATTTACAGCATTTTTTTACAGGACACAGTAAGGGTTGTTTTAGGAAATGCCATTTCAGATGTTTGTATTTAATGGTATGTCAGCTCAAGATAAGAGCTAAGATCTAGTGCTACAGTTTATACATCACCTGTTGACCCCCATGTTAATGTTTTAAGGAAAGCTTTTAACCAAGTATCTAATCAGGGGTGTATGTGGGAACTACATGCTGATAAATTATTTATGCAGATAAGAGCAGACTGAGACCACTGATGCCTATTAGTGTTCAGCACCTTTGAAAATTAGCCCAGTATGAAAAAAAATCTGTCTTTAAATGATAACACTGTCTGAAAACCATAATTAAATACAAAGATCTCTATAATTTGCTTTACTTCTGTGACAACTAAATATTTTTCTATTAAATCACTGTAGAGAAACATTTGCCCACACAATCACCTTTGATGTTAGATGTTCCCGTGGTTTCTCTTTTTCTCTGATGTCTATGTCCAAGAATCCAGAAAGATGTGCAAGGAGCTCTTCATAGTTTTGGCTGATTTTAGAAGCCTTAGTCATGTTGTCTTCACACTCATTCAAATATTTACTAATTAGACAGAAAAAAAGATAGACATCAGCATGAATGTTCCCTGAAAAATAATTTTAGGTAAAATATAAAGTCCCAAGACTATTGCTAGCTTCTGCATACCACCAAATGAATTTTAAAAGTTGCATTTAATTCTCTGTATCTGTTATTTAATACATATAACTTTTGCTGTTGCCTTATGTGTAAATGTTTCTTCATCTTTGCTTTTGATTAATACTTCAATAAATCTATGATCCCAATCTCATTTTCATTACAAAATTTGAAAAAAAACACTATAACCAAGTGACATGAATAAATAGTGCCCTCAAGATACTACAAGAGGAAAGTGCAAGCAAAAGTCTAGAAAAAGTGAGGGGGAGACAGTGATCAACTCTTAGCAAAAATAAGTGAAAAGCACTTCACATCCCCTCTCCGCAGAAGCTGACAGAGATGATTAACAAACTTCAGGTAAAGAAAAGACTTCCTGGACTAATGGAAGTGTAAGACATCCAGAGTACCTGTGAAGGGAAGTTTACCAGCAAAAGAAGAGATGGGAGACACTACTTTGTTGTACAGTACTCTGAAGCACTACTCATGAAAGGAATGCATTTAAAAAGACAGCATCTAGGGCTATCAAAGATATGAAGAAAAGGGAATTTTCATCAGTAATTTCACTGCTCAACAGATGCCTATCATGCAGATGCATATCCCAAATGAATTGTGTTTTCAGCCTTAAGAGCAGGTGTCAGTTTGTACTGTTCAAGGACAACCAACCAAATAAATTAACAGTGAGTTTAACTCATTAGTGTAAATGTGGTTACATCCTTTCCCTTGCCAGGAACAGGGACGAGTCCAACAAACAAAAACCACTACAGTCTGATTTGGCAGGAAATACAGAAAAAAATCTTGCTCATGATGGTGAAACACACATCGCTTATAAAAAACTACAAAGAAACTGGTTAGCAAAACCAGCCAGCCAAGCAGAGCTCAAAACTGCAGTAGTGTAATCCAAATGTCAACTCCAACACCTCTCAGTAACACCCACAAGTGAGGTACTTAGTGATAGAGTGCAAGACATGGTAGATTGGTAGTGGTAAATTTGCAAGACAAGCTGTTGTGCTTCCATTTGAAAAACAAGGTTCTTTCTAAAGCAAGTTCTTCACTCTAGAATAAATCAAGACCTGAGCTGTAACTAAATGCATGTCTAAAGTAAATATTTTATTGAAACTCATTTGCTTATCGCAGTGTAGCACTCCTCTCAGTTTTCAAGGTGAGCACAGTAGTCATTGCTGGACTCACTCTTTTCCATTTCTGATTTCTTTCTAGCCTGGTAATAAAACAGAGCATCATTCCATAACCAAAGAGCCACAGGACACTCCAACAGGAGATGCACAGTGAGTGCAAAATCAGTACATTGAATGCTTATAAATCAGTAAGCAAAACAGTCCATGAAAAGATTTAGCACATAACCTTAGGAGGGAGATTAGCACAGCTGCTGAAAATGCTGCAAAGTGAAAGAGAGTGGCAGAATAACAGAGAGGAATGCAAAATATTCATTACTGCTCTGGGCACTGTGAGGGCAGTTCCACAGCACACACCATGAGCCGAAAGAGCTCTGCCTTCTGCAGCAGACACTGTGCCTCAGAACACAAGCACCTTCACAGCTTCCTCACCTCTGGGCACCTTCCTTTCCTCTGTAGCCCCAGTAAAACTAAACCATGAGATTATTGCTGAACTGTTGTTGTGAGAAGGGATGTGTCAGAAGTGAAAATGTATTAGGCTCAGACATGCCATATATGCATGCCTATATGTCAGAATATTATATAAGATTGACCACCAACCCCACAACTGTTCTTTGGCTCTAAAAATTGATGTATCCACTCACAAATCCATGCCTGAAAGAAATCGAGAAATCTGAAGTACAAAGCACTCACTTGATAACTTTACGAACAATCTAATTACCAGCAGTAGGGCCATAAAGGTGCGAGCATCTAGAAAATAGGGAGTCAGGTACAAGAAAGTAGAACACAGCTTTTTCACAGTTTTGCTAGCTCTTCAGAACTAATGAGCAAAGAGAAGGGAAGGAAAAAAAAGAAGAACAAAGCTTTTGACAGTTCACACTCTAAAAATACCATGGCAATAGACATGTTGAGTAGAAAAGCACCATTTTCAATAGGAGAAGTGCACATCCTGGAAGCCAATCATAGAATTCGCCAAACATTTCTTACTATATTCCCAAGGTACAGAATATAAATATGCACTTCATGCATGCTGGCTTGCTCTCCCCTTTCATTAGTGGTTTTCAGTGAAAATCTTTTTGAACACTTAATTAGGACTAGTCATGGGCCAAGTACTACCAGGGTGGCCAGACTAAGTCACTGAAGTTAACTGAGTCAACACATTGGTTAGTATGAAGTGGCACATGTAACCATTAGCTGAGGACAGCAAAAAGCATTGGAAGCAAACACGGCACATTCATGAGCAACCCAACACGTTTGTTCCCTCCAAATGAGCAGTATCACTTCCCTTTTGCCAGAAGTCCAGTGGCACACTCCAGGTGCCCAGTGAACCAGAGCTGCGATTGGTAGAGGTGGTAACTGAGCTTTTTATTTTGCTCACCTCTCTCTTGGAGCAGTCCCCTGGTCCTGATCACCACGCATCCACACAAACAGAACTGATTTCACAAGTGTTGTACACCAAAGAGAGCAGCCAGGACTGCTCTGGGAGTGACAGCAGAGATTTATGCCCATAAAATGATTGTATCACTATAATGGCAGGTGAGTATGAAACACAGTATTCCAGAAGTTTTTTCCCAGTTAGTTAGGCAAACAAACAGTATAGGAGGTTTTTGTTCCCTCTTCTCTTTTTTTTTTTTCCCCTAGCAGAAATAACATTTTAAAGAATCTTAACGGCCAGTATGTAAGACTGCACTCTCCAAGCAGGGCTTTTGGCAAATCAGCTGGTAATAAACAAGTGCACTGCAATGGTTTTTCTCTAAGTTTTAAAGTTACTTAATTATTCACTTTCAATGCATAAAACCTGACAGAGCTGTGCAAAATACTGATTCGGGAAATACAGGTGTCTGGTAAATACTCAATTTGCTCTTGAGTAGACAGTATTGATAGAGCCACAAATATTATTCTGATAATGGGCAGAAAAATCCATTATAAAAGCCTGGGTATCTATTAATATGACTAACACTGATTTTGGAATTTAAGAGTTCCGAATATTTCATACCAATCAATTTTGCTGTGAGTCTCCATCCTACAGACCCAAAACATGAGCAATTATGTAGAACTGACAGATCAGTGCTCTGATACACTATGCTAAGAACAGTACAGTTAAAGGACACTATCTTTTATAAGTTTAATGCATTTCACCTTCAAAGCACAAAATATTCAAACCTCCATATATGTACTAACAACTCAAAACAAAATTCAAATTTCAACACCTTCCACCCGCTCAGGCACAGTCACAGAATTCAGAACTGCAATAAAGTCTATCCACCAACTTATTTTTCTGTATTGGCAACTGTACCATTCTGTCATCCCCCTCCAAAAAGTTGTTTCTTATCTCACATGACTCTTACTGAAGTTTGGCACTTTTCTCATTAAGCTCCTCCTTCAGCTCCAAATTTTCCTTATATGCCACCTGAGCTGTCAGCTCAGCCTGGTTTTTAGAAGCAGCAAGCACACACAGCTCTTCTTCCATCTCCTGGATTCGTGTTTGCAAAGACAGGAGGCGAGACATCAGCCTAGCATTGTTTTCCTTATAGCTTTCAGCTTCAGCCTTCAGCTCTTGAAAAGAAGCTTCTTTAGAGATCATGCTCGACCCGAGTTTAAGAAGCTATAGATAGAAAAGGAGAAAATGAATGAAGAATAGTTGTACCAGCCTGAAATAACATGACTGTATTACAAGCTTAGAAATGTGACAAGAAACACATTTCTATCATTACAAGACTGAGTAGAGGGACACAACTTTACTTTCTTACGACTAGGAAAAGCAATGGAAGAGGTTTGCAAGAACAAAAGCTACTGTTGGGTAACATAATGCAACTTTTCAAGATAACGTTTTACAGGAAGATAAGTTTATTTACTAATTCAGAATTTAGGAAAAGTCTAATTTAAGTTCTGCTGCACAACCTTAATTCATGTCTCCTATGTATCTGCATTACAGCAAAGTTATTAAATCACTATTCCCTCTTTTTTTTTGCCTGCTGCCTGCCTGCTTCCAAATCTGCTGCTCAATTCCACATATAATCTAGAGCTGCAGGGAGTTGTAACAGCAAAGTATCCTGTATGAATGTGTGAATGTATGAATGTGGAGCCTTCTGATGGTTTGAGGCATATTCAGAGACAAATAAGTTTTTGGAGCATTGTGTGGTAGGCACCCTCTTCTCATCTTATGCAAATAGTTATTTTTGGGAATGATAATCCAATTAAATATAGCTGTATTTACAATGAAACAGCAACAGTGCCTTTTAAGGAAGGGTAGGAGGAGGAAAATCACCCTCAAATGTTGAAGACATCTGACAGGGATGATGTTACAACTTTCCAAGAGTTCATGGAGTTCAGCAGATTTTCCTCTCTCTTTTTATTAAAAATACCATTTTCCATTGAACTATTTCTGCTAGAAGCTTCTCTAGGAGATTGCACTTGAGGGAGTTTCACCAGGCAAACAAAATTTTAGTGGGTTTTTTTGTTATTAGGAAAAAGTAATTTAAAGTGGACTTTTTTGTCTCAAGAAATATTAAGGCATATTTCAGCATTCCTGACAATTCCAAATAAATGCAGCAAGATGCAATCTGAAGGACTTCTGTCCTATAACATAAAATTAACAAGCAAATAATTTAGCCAAGTAAACTGCTCTTTATGGTCAGTGACAGAACTTCTAAATTGTGCAAACATTTTAAGGCAAAAACATTGAAGACATTAAACTGCAATCCAGGACAATGGGAAATTCACGTCTCTATTGGAGTCTTTCAGTATGACTAAACCCAAGATACTCAAGGAAATTCGAGAGGCCAGTGAGCCAACAGAACAGCAACTGCCTTGGAAACGGGAGGTCCTGCTTCTCCTCTTTGCCATGCACGCCTGTCCTCTCCCTCGCACCAGCTCTGTGTTTGTCTGCCTCCCCCACAAACAAATTAAAGAACAACTGATAGAAAATAGTTCACTTTTTCTGTCACAGAAGAGAAGGAGAACCACAGAGCAAAGTCTAACGCTGAGAAATCAGGAAGGAGGATCACCCTTGCAGCAGCAGCACAGCCTTCAATAAACTTGTGCATCTTGAAACATGCAAGCACTGCTTTATCAGACACTCTGGAGCAGCACTGAGCTCGAGAAAAGCAGCTTGGCTTTTGCCCAGGTTCATGGGTTTCATTTCCATACTCCACCCTCTTCTTTGTGCTAGAAGAAACTTACATGGCTACAAGGTGAAAAAGATAGGGAGACTGATCTAGCTAAAAAGCAAATCAGAAGGAAAGGAGTTATTTTTCAATTGCATCGACACAACAGAGCACCATAAAAAACTACACATAGCCTGTGCCGGCACAAGGGGTGGGGCAGTGTGGGGAAGGAAATGAGCAGCTGAAGGAACAATAGCATTGCTTTGCTTGGCAGCTGGACACAACTATGGTATCTTAAAGAGTGTTCATAACCTTAAAATTTCTCTGTGGTTCAACTCCCCATGTGATATTTTTTCGTTAGTCCATTGTCTTTGTGGTCAGTTCCAATAGCAGAAAAAGCAAGAGTAATCCCATATCATGAGTTTTACAGAGCACTCAGCAGAACAAGGCTCTGACCTCAGCTAGGTCATGAAGGTCTTTATTAGCAAGAGCTTGAACAGCTGCTTTTTAGACTATGCTTTTGCAAGCACTGTCTTGAAAAACCTATAAATCAGTCAGACGTTCTGGCAATAAAGTAATTCAACATTTCCAGTAATAAATTCTTCGTATGAGAACATTAGATTCTGTATGGCTTCTTAAAAATTAAATTTAAAGCACCAGTTCTGGATAAATGCTAAATGTAGGGGAACTCTGCAGCAACTTCAGGATCAAGTGATCAAATTAAACCTCAGCCAATGCACATTTGTGCCTGTAGTTCTGTATGTGAACAAATGTAAGCATTTCACGTCTTCTAAAAGCAAATTTTACTCTGCTTTGAAACTGACCACTGCCCACATTGCTGACTTCAAACAAATCAATTTTAATCAGTTATATGTTAAAAAAAATTACTTGTGGAAATAAGGCAGCTCTAAAAATTATCCTGTAATAAATCTTCTCCTGAGAAACACCTCCAACACAGCAGGAAAAGCAGAAAAAGTATGTGTACGTGTTCTTCAGCCTCTCTAGCTACAATCAACCTCATAAGCACAAACACAATTTCACTGGTGATGAAAGCAGAGCAAATTTGGGGAGCTATGACCTGAATAAAAGAGAGAAATGAGTAAAGATGAGCACCTAGATAACAACTCACCCGGAAGAAGAGGAAGATATCTCTCTGAATGTTTATACAGCCATAATGTAATTAATTTTCAGGTTTAACATAAAAGTATTGCACTTAGATGCTGATAAAACTACACTGCTTCAAATTGTCCGAATACAAATTTATACTCAGTTTTTGATCACAGGAGGAAGCAAAGTAAAAATCACACAGACATTCTAAAAAGAAGAACCTGAAAGTTCTGTAACAAAAGCAAGTTTCAGACTTTCTGCAAGCTTTCTATTCTCTACGTAAGGTGACTGCAAAATATCCTCAGGTTTGGAGAGGATTTGAAATTATTTTTAGATGTACCTCTGACTGGGCAGAGTCATACTTCACTGAAAGTGCTGCAAGTTCACTTTGAGCAGTTTCAGCTGCAGCTCGATAGTGATTCATCTGCTCTCTAGTTATGGGAATATCCAAAAGAGTGTAATCATGAGATTCCTGTGAAGACAGAATGAAGACAAAGCCATTAGACATCACATTTTTTGAACATTTTTGCTTCAGTGCTTTTTTGTTTGATTAAGCTGCTCAAGGGCATTATTCCAAATGTTCCAGAGTATTATTCCCAGAGTAACACACACTTACTGAAAAATATGTTAAACAATCACTTTTCTACAAGTCACCACTTCCATCTCCAAATTCAGCCACCAACACCAGTGCTAAAGTAAGACAGTGCCCCTCAACAATCCCATGACCTCACATTGTTTTCGGCTCTGGCTATTTCCAACAGTTTCTATATATTTAGTAACATTCAAAAGGTCCCTCTTCTACAAACTTACCGAGTCACTCTTTCAACCTGTGTAAACTTTAACCCAAAGGGAGTCCTCAGGGGTCTCTTATGCAAAGAATCACTTTGGTTTTTAGACTTCAGTTATACTGTATACATCCCCTCATTTTTTGTTCAGAAGAAATGTTGGAAAAAAGCAATGGCTATCCATCTTCTCTGTACCACTCATGGTTTTTAAGATTTCTATCATATCTCACCTTAACAGACTCTCTACCAAGTTGAAGAGCCCATGCCTATTCAGACACTTGTATCTGCTCCTCCAAGTCACTTTTTGTCTTGCCATTTGCTTTGTTACTTCTAACCTTTCAAGGTTAGAGGTCCTTTTGAACTTAATCACTTGGACACAACTTCAGCTTCCTGACTGATGCTTTCTCATCCCCAGCCATAACCATAATGACTTCCTTGCATTCTTTTTCAAGTCCTGATTCCATGGTAAGCACTGCCTCTGTCTTTCTAGTACAGTCTCCTTCACACCATTTGTACAACCCCTTTAGCTGTGCCCTTTAGATTCTATAGTAGGCTTTCTCCTTTTTGTGGTGCTCTGCCCTTCTGCAGTAGAGCAGGAATGTGCTGGATTTCTTGGCCTTTATTACTTAAGTCTTTCAAGATGAAAATTCAGACCTGAAGTCTTGGTAGAGTTTCATTAGACAGATTTTTTTTTTTTTTCAATCAACAGTAACTAAAAACGATGAAATGTAACCTCTTCAGAACAGAACTAAGTTTAGGTTATGTTGGGAGCACACATGGCAGAGAACTGAACATCGGATTTGTTCTCCATCAGCTCATACGGAACTGAAACAAAAACTGCAATCCTGGTACATTTAGGTATGAATTACAAAATGCAAAACACCCCTAGATAATGACTGGTGTTGGAAAAAGGTATTGCAATGGAGACAGAGACATCTTCTCTTCATGCTTTTCTACATCAGCATCAATTTGCAGGCTGAGATAAATTACAAGTGCAGCCCCTACCCGTTCCTAATAGGGGAAAAAAAAAAAAACTGAAGAGTTTTCCAAATACATGAACAACTAGTAAAATAAGCATTTATCATGCAAAACATAGAGACATCCCTGAGGAAAAAGGAAAATCTACTGGTTTAGACTGCAGCAGAAGATAAATAACCTTGTTTTAGTTGCTATAATATCACCAACTCTAATCTTTCTTCCCTGTGCTAGTTAACACTGGATCAGACCCATCAAGTTTAATTGCATTCATCTCCTTCAAAGATACTCAGCTGTGCTCTTCCACAAAGGAGTTGCCACTCTCATCAAGCCAGACTGACACATGCAGAAAACTCAGGGCCACATAGAACACAGCACATAATCTTGGAGATAAAAGGGCTGCTAATTTTCTCAACACTTTATCACTGTTCTGAGGGAGTGAGGGAAAGCATGTGCCATCTCCTCACTGCTTTTGTCTTATTTTTGCTTCACTCTGCTTGTTTCACATGTACAAGCACATGAAATTCTTTAATGTAGAGGGCATTTTTCTCAGTCTGTAATACACCAGGGCTCCAGAACCATGGATGGAAATTTCAAACAATAACACTGGGTACGCTGGTTATATTTGTTATTACATCTGTAGCTCTGCAATATGTAGGTTTTTTTCCTTTTCTTCCCTAAAAAAACACAACTTATGACTTCACAGAAAGGAGGAGTATGTCTCAAAACTGGTGAAATAAATACATTTCAGAGTATAGCTGAAGGAAAGAAGTCCCCATTCAGCAGCAATAATCAATGTAACAGCTTTAGAGCTGAAGCTTCCAAAATCTGTGTATTTCATACAAATCAGATTTTTAAATTATGAGCACTTTAAAAATGCAGCTACACATCCAGAAGGATTTAAAAGAAGTTTAAATGAAGCCAGGTGTCAATGGGAATTACTCTTCTCTTAGTGAGACTTACAGAGGCAGATTTCTGCATCCTCCAGTGCCTTAGCAAATATAAAATTAATCATCGTGGCTCCATGCTAGGAAAGTTGGTACTATCATACTTTTAGCAGGAAGCATGCATGCTCTAAAATTAATAGTTTTCTATGTTTCTGTGGGTTTCCATCAGCCAGTCACAAGTCTGATATTTAATCAGACCTATCAGACAACTCAAATAAATTGGCATAACTTTACTATAGGGGTAAAATTTGTAATGCAGGTATGACACTTTTCTATGTGTGGAAAACTTCAGATTTTTAATGTTTCATGAGTATTATGTAATCTATACTGATTTTTGTTAGGAAAACAGAATTAATGAAGTGTTAAAAGAATTAGAGAGAGTAGACAGAAGAAGTCTTAATATATTAACATTCAATCAGCTCTAAATAACCTAGGTTTTGGGTGTTTCTACCACTCACATGATCAATTTTTTTTATGTCTTTCCACTTACCTGCAGGAAAACGAAGCTTTCATCTAACTTCATATGCTAAACAGAAGCTAAGCCTATGTTTACAATACTTAATTAGGAGCAATATCTACTTGGACCTTCAGTTTTATTAGTAATAGGTGTTCTTTAGAAGATCAACAATATATGGTGATTTTTGTTATTGTTGACCATTTTTGTTTTGATTTTTTTACCAAATAACTGCCTTTATCTCCCTGGAATCCAGCCTCTAGTTGGAAAACTACATTTGATACAGAATAAAACTACAACAACATTGAGTAGTTTTATACCTATCCATGTACTTTGAAATCAGCCAACTGTTAAAGTCACTCACTCCCATTTGGCTTTTGGCACCTTCTCTTTTATTTCCTGCTGTGTTTCTTATTTCAGTGCTCCAAATGCCACTACCACTGCCATTGCCTGCACACAGCTCAGACCCCTTTCCCAAAACACAATTTAAAAAAAATGTTTTTTGAAACAGAAAGCCCCCAGTAGGCTTTTAAGCACCCATCACCACCCCGAGTGACTTGTCAATGCACTGCCATAGACTGTATTCAGGGCAGGGATTTCTTCTTCCCATTCCCAAAGGACCTAAACACATCAGGGTTAACATACCAAAAATAATGGCTCACAAACCTTTGTTGACTTCATTCTTCCTTTGCTTCTGCAGAAAAATGGGGGGAAGAAAGGTTGAAAATTAAATAGATTTGTAATATGATGGCACATGACATTATTTTTTCACAGATATGCTTTACTAAACTGTATCATAGGTTAACATCAGCAAACTTGGGCATGAAAGCAGAACACCATGGGAAAGTTTCTCTAGTAGCCAGTGAACTCTGATTGTCTCCACAGTATTCAAACACACTTCTAACCAAAACAGGCACCTTCCTGTTGACTTCTCCAGGATGCATTCACCAGTTCAGCTACACATTCAGCCTTCATGCAGTGATTGCTTCCTTTGCCACGGCTTTTCAGGTGCTCCAAGTTTTTATTTCACTTCTCCATTTGTCCTGCGTTTCTTCTATAGTGGTATATTTAAAAAGAATCTCAGTGATAACACAAGATCTATCTTAACTGAAATACATCTTTTTTTTCCAGGTAATCAGTGGGCCCGTTTTACCTACATACTTGAACAGGACTTGGTACAGTGGTTGGACTCAGTGGGCTGTTCAATGATTTTTATAAATCCCAGTGTCATAACTGTTCATATTCTGAAATAAAACAAAATTAGATATCCCAAATCTGCAATATTTTTCTTTAAGACAAACAAATATTCATGAGTGTATATGCACATAAAATTGTTCTAACTTCTGAAAATACAATGCAGCAGCAGAGATTAGTAGTAGTAGTAGTAATATTTGCTATAACCAGAAAGGAGATGACTTCCATCATGAAATACCAGAAAGAATGGGTAATTGAAATATTTTCACACTTGGCTACTGCAGATTTTTCTTGGTAGCAGCAGCCAGCCAGCCAGGTAGCATGCACATAACCTCAGAAAACACAACAATGAGCATGAGAAGGTTCAGACACTATTCCACAGTGACTCAGATTTTGTTAACACATACAGAAATGGACTAAAATGAATCACACAATCGATAAGACTGGAAAGGACTTCTGAGAACATCAAGTCTAACCTATGACCAACGACCACCATGTCAAACAGATCACGGCACTGATGTCACATCCAGTCTTTCCTTAAATATCTCCAGGGACGGTGACTCTACCACCTCCCTGGGCAGCCCATTCCAATGTCTAATCATCCTTTTTGTAAAGAAATTCCTTCTGATGCCCAACCTAAAACCTCTTCTGGCAGAGCTTAAGGCTGTGTCCTCTTGTCCTGTCACTGGTTAGCTGGAATAGGCTGACTCCCTGAGTAGAGTCACTTCAGGGGGTGGGGAAAAAAAGGTTCACAAATTAACCATCTTATATGTATATTTTGGATCTTCTTTACAGATAATACTTTCCCCAGTTTGCCTATCAGGGATCTCAAAATGTATTGATAATTATGTATTAACATAAATCAAAATTTGCAAGTAATATTTCGCAACTATTTCAGTTCTGTCACTGCTCTTGCACAATATAAAGTACCAGAAACACCCAAATACTTTTGATCACTATCCACTCAGTAAAGTCCTATTTCCCCTTGCTGATTCCTTCTTGTAACTAGGCCCAACTCACTGCTTGCAGTGCTTTTTTTGGTTATTGTTATATACCTATGGAGATTTTCCTGCATTAGTGTAATGTTCCAGAAACATGTAAAACTAACTTAAGTCTTCTCAGCAGCTCAAATAAATTACCAAAGAGATTTTCTAAATTCCTTTCAGAAGGGTACTGCTCAGCTCTACCCTCCTCCCTTTGCAGTAATCATTGAAAGGTATTACTGAAAAGATAAAAATCACTCCTGCTGTTTATCTGCTGAAGAGGCCAATTTCGAGCTTGATTAATGGGCCCAAATAAAAGCTTCATTACAAGCAAAATTTTAATCTTACCCACTGCTACTACTACAAGAAGCAGTTAAAACATCTTCATCTTTTGTTTTTCTCTTAGGATGAGGTGACTTTGCATCTAAATATTATAAACGCATTTAATGTGATGAAAGACAGCAGCCATCTGAAGGCAATTAGAGAGACAAATCACCTTCTCTAAACATTACTTAACATGCTTTCTGGTTGAGTTCATCCTTTGTCTGTATGGACAAATTAAGAAATTTGGAACTCCCCTGAAACTTTCTCTCACAGCTTTTCCAAAATGATTAACAAGGAGCTGCTGTGTTTATTCCCTAAACAATAAAAAGGGTAATTGATAAGACAAAATTTAGTGCTTATGCAGGGATTCGTGCAAACAATTTGTTCTACTGTTTTCACTTCATTGGTGCTAAATAGAGTTAAATAACTTCTGTAACAGCACTACTTAAATGGTACATTTAAAAAACAAACCATCATGCAATGCCAACAGCTGCAATTTTCCTACAATACCTACTATACTTTACTGCAGCAACAAAATGCAAATAATTTAGAAATACTTGAGTATACTGGTATATACATAACTAAAAACTGATTAATCCTGTAGTTTGATTTACCAGTTGTAACTTACATTTTGTAAACATGAAATTTCTAGCGTGTTTTTGAGTCTCAAAATCAACACTCACAAAGTATTTGACTTCGAGTTAGTTAAAATGTGGAGCAGGTTGCTGTGAACTCTGTCACTAAGCAGCGCTGGCAAAAAGTTTGTAATTGGGTCATAACAGTTGTATTTAATGTAATAGCAGTTGATTTTGCCACCACAAACTACCAAAATTCACTATTTTTTTTGTCTTGGAACAATACGCATTACAAAAATTGATGTTCAACTATTCAGGAGATAATGAACTGTTCAAACATATAAAATTTTTATCCTTTGGAATACAAAACTGTTACAAGGTTCCTATTATATCCTTAGTACAAGGGTTTGATCCTGCTAAGCAATATCCTCTAGTGTCTCCCTTAAATTCACATCAAAGCCAGCAAACCAATTTCAAAGGAGGAAGAGATGC